CAGGTGTGCGGTAGGCGCATGCGAACGCTGCCACTGGGGCCTTCGGTGGTGTTCCCTAGTGTGCCACGGGGCGTGTGGGGTGTGTGCCGAAATGGGCGCGGTGGGCGCGTGCGAACGCTGCCGCTGGGGCCTTCGGTGAAGCTTATTGAGGGGCCGCGAAACGCGTGGGGGACGTGCTGAGATGGGCGCGGCGGGCGCATGCGAGCGCAGCCACTGAGGCCTTCGGTGGAGCTCCCGATGAGGCCATCATGCGTGTGGGGGTGTGCCGAAAATGGTACAGCGTGCGCATGCGAACGCAGCCACTGGGGCCTTCGGTGTAGCCCCTATGGAGCCAGGACGCGTGTGAGGGTGCGCCGACATGGGCGCGGTGGGCGCATGCGAACGCAGCCATTGTGGCCGTCGGTGGAGCCCCCTACGTGGCCACGAAGCGCGCGCGCGGCATGCCGACATGGGTGCGGCGGGCGCATGCGAACGCAGCCATTGTGGCCTTCGGCGGTGGTCCCTCGGGGGCAACGAAACGCGTGAGGTGCGTGCCAAAGATATTGCGGTGGGCGCATGCGAACGCAGCCACTCGGGCCTTCGGTGAAGCTCCCTGCGGGGCAACGAAACGAACGTGTGAGGGGTGCGCCGACATGGGTGCGGCGGGCGCATGCGAACGCAGCCGCTGGGGCCTTCGGTGGAGCCCCCTGTGGGGCCGCGAAACGGGCGAGGGCTGTGCAGAAATTGCTGCGGTGGGCGCATGCGAACGCAGCCGCTGGGGCCTTCGGCGTAGCTCCCTGTGGGGCCACGAAGCGCGCGAAGGGTGTGCCGACGTGGGCGCGGTGGGCGCATGCGAACCTGGTGCCTTCGGTGGGGCTTCCCATGGGGCCACGGAACGCGTGCGCGGCGTGCCGACATGGGCGCGGCGGGCGCGTGCGAACGCTGCCGCTGGGCTCTTCGGTGGAGATCCCTATTGGGCCACGGAGCGCGCGAGGGGTGTGCCGAAATAGGTGCGGTGGGCGCGCGCGAACGCTGCCATCGGGGCCTTCGACGCAGTTCCCACTGAGGCCACGAAACGTGCGAGGGGTGTGCCGAAGTGGTTGACATGCTGAGAGCAGAGGCAAGGAGGGTGAGGGAGTAGCGGGAGGAGTGATACAGGGGGCGCTGTCTCTTCAAAACACGGACCCAGCGCCGCAGGGTGGCTGGGGAGTACGACGCCAGCAATGTTAAAATCAAAAAGCAATGTCGCGAAACAACAGCACATTAAAGTAACGCCGTGCAGTCTTGTTTTCCCTGCACCCCTTGAAAGAGTCAGAGCTTTTTTTCCGCGGTTTCGACCAGCGGACGCCCACCTGGAGTTTAGAGTTCACTGGGTTACTGACGTGGGCCCAGGGGTCGCACGTTCACATGTGTTTCGAGGCGTCGGGCTGGGAACGCTGAAGATGACGGGGGGGGGGTGGGGCGGGGCTGCGGGTACCTGGAGCGGGCGGAGTCGTCGGGCGCGGGTTTATGCGCGTGCCGTCTACGTGCAAACGCACGGAGTTTGGCTGGGGTTTGCGGGTGTACATTGTGGCTTCGAGTTAGAGGGGTGAAGCGCCCGCGCTTGGGATCAATGTTTGTAGGGTCTCGCGCTTGTGCGTAGCACGTCGTACGTAAAAGTGCAACCCGATGTTTGGCAATTGTCGACACTCAATGCACAACACTTATTAACTGCCAGGAGTGCACGCGTAGTAACACTACAAAATGAAGCCTGTAGCACGCCCCTTACATACGCATACTTTCTCTTGGGTGAGAATCTAGCGCGCGCGTGAAGCTCGTGATACATGGGCAACGCCGATGCATCAACCGATTTGCTCATCGTGCGACATGTCAGGCCAAGCCGCCGTAAAGGGTCAAGTCGTGGGCTCAGGTCGTGTTCGTGCGCACTTTTTGCCACTTGTGTTCTTCGCAATGACATTTCAACTTACGGGAACACTTAACTTGTTGGTGATGGATCCCACTAAGCCCATGACATATGAGAAGCGCATAGACGTTCACATTCCAGCCACTTTGCTCGTTATAGGGAACCAGCCACCGAGGACGCCAACGGAGCGAGAAGAATCCGAGGATGAGAAAGCAGCTGAGACTCCTCGGCCCCCTTCTGCGCAGTCTCCTACATCAGGCAATCGTGATGGATCCGTCGAGTGGCTGGGCTTCCCTGTTGGGGCGTTCGAGAGCGGTTGGCGCGCTGACGCGAAGGACGCATCAGAGTTTGCTGATGAGGACATTGTCCCAGTCCCCGCAGTGCCCCAGTTGCCCCAGTTGCATCAGATCTGTTTTAAGCCAAGTGTTCAGTGCGATGTGCCCCGCAGCCCCGACCCGAAGCCGCCGACAAGCGCTGCTCCACAAGAGGCGGCCCCAGGGGCGGGGCCGCGTGCCGTGGATTTGCCATCGTCCGCCTATTCTGTGCCAGCATGTGGCGCCGCGGATAGCACGCCCCCGTCGAATCATCTAGGTAAGACAGGCTTACGCGAAGCTCAGGAGTCCGAGGTTGTCGAAGCAGTTGACAGCCCTCTCAAGCATAGCTCAGCGGAAGCCAGTGCAGACTTAGCCGCCGCAGCTTCCGATCTCGCAGAGCCTTCTCTCAAGCCTCTCTCGGAGTTTGCCTTCCAGACGCCTGCCAAGGCTGGTAGGATGCGTGATTCGGTTGATGCGAGGTCGGCGATGCATCCTGATGCCAGCCAGTTTCTCGGGTGGAAGTTGCATGTGAGCCCGGTGCGAAACGGCGCAAATGGCTTCTCCGCCCCGGGCACGGCGGGCCAGGCGCCAGCAACGTGCAGCCACCAGAGCCCGTAGATGATGATGCTGGGGATGGAGGGGCGAGCGTTGTAGCCCAGCAGAGTCGTCAGCCGTGGCACCCTTTCCGTATGCTCGGCCATCGCCTGGAGTCCGCATCCCAAGTTTTGCGGGGCTTTGATTAGTAGCGAGGCCACAGGCAACGCTTGCTATGTAGAGGGACAACCGAAGCAGGGTGGTACATGAAGAAGGGGTGGTACGAACACGATGATGAAAACCACAATGAGTGTGACCACGATGACAAAACTTGAGGAATCTTAGGTGTAGGTGGCATAGTGATGGCCATGAGGGCGTGGAGGAGGACCGATGGTATTGTCATAGTGATAGGTGCGAGTCTAAGGATGAAGGTTGGGAGGAAGATGAGGATGATGATGATGATGACGAACATGGCGGCGATGAGTTCAATATGAGCACATGCTTCGGTATTTGTGGCCTGTGGTATTTGCTACCTTTTTTTCAGTTGTGCAGATATGAGTGGGTGGGGACTCATCTGATAAATTAAACAGTCCTCATTCCCGTATGTTCTGCTCCGCCTCCTCTGTCGCGATGTCCGTGCCCCTCCTTGTCTAATCCACCCTTTAGTTCTGCTCCGCACTCAGACACTAACTCTTCATTATCCTTGCTCGATTTCCTTCTCTCAGTCTTAGTTCTATCACCGCTGTAATGTTGATAACCCCATGTCCCCATTACCCTCCACTCTAAGTCCTAGGCGTCCTCTTAAGTATCCTCATGCCTTTCCGCTGTCCTTCTCTTCTGTCCTGGTCGTCGTCATAACCCACGTCGTCGTCGTGCATTGGGTTAACTGTCAGTGCTGCCTCTTTGTGTTGCTTCTCTGGCTGGTGGTGGCGCGGCCCGCTGGGCTGGTGGCGGCGCGGCCCTGCTGGGCCGCCCCAGGTGCGCCCCGCCCACCCCTCGCGCGCCACGCCGCGCAGCGTTGCACGAGGATAGGAGGAGGAGGAGGGGGGGGGGAAGGAGGAGGAGGAGGGCGAGGAGGGCACTAGGAGGGAGGAGTAAGGGGGCCAGGTGGAGGAGGAGGGCGAGGACACAGAGGCGGATCATTGGTAATAGGGAAGGGTGAGAAGGACATGGAGAGGAAGTAGGGCGTGCATGATCATGGGGAGGGGAATGAGGGAGAAGGGATATGAACAAAAGGATAACACATAGGGGTGCTAGCAGGAAAACGAGGGGTAAGAGTTGGAGGCGGTTGATGCCAAACAAGGAGTACCCTCGTCCTCCTATCCTCCTGCGCCTCCACGCCCAGTGTCCGACTGTCCTCCTCCTCATGCTCCTCATGATCCTTATCCCTTTGTTCCCCTCGTGCCTCCTCCTCCCCCCCCATCCCCCTGCTCTTCCTCGTCCTCCGACCCCCCCTCCAACGTCTGATTTCTACCAGGGAATCGGGGCCTCGGCGGCGGCGCCTGGTTTCTACCCGAGGATTGTGGGGCCCAGGGGGTAGGGGGGGGAATATATGAGGAGGGTCGGATAAGGAAGGGGATCGGAGGTGGAGAGGCGACGATGATAAATGGAGGGGGTGGGAGGAGAAGGACGAGGAGGGTAACGTGAGCATGGGACGTGGAGGATAAGGATGATGATGCTAATCGGACATGGGGGATCTGATGGGAGGATCGCATAGGAGGATGGGGGGCTAGGAGGATGGGATGATGCTGTGTGATAAGTAGAGCGATTATGGTATGATGAGGATATAGCTATAGGTGAAGAGGGTAGGATGGTACGAGGGCGCGTGTGTGTGTGCAGGATAGACGAGAAGGATGCGAGGAGGCTCGGATAGGATAAGGATACCGAGGAGTATAGAGTGATATGGGGATAGGAGGATAGGGGGTGGTGAAAGCTAAGATGTCATGAGGGTCGGATAAGACGATCGCAGTATAGGAGGAGGATAGGACAGCATAAAGTTAGGGGACGGAACCCAGGAGGAGACGGGGAAAACGACGGATAGGGCAATATAGTGATATGAAGAAGATGGGGCATCCCCCTGAGGTTGGTGTTAGATCGGTTGCCCATCCGTGACCCTCCCAATCACTTGTTTTAGTGTGCCCGTTTCTAAGCATGTGCAGCCCATTGCAGTTTTGGCTTCAATGTCCACATCCGGGCAAGATCATAAGGCCTCGGGCTCGCACTCTGCATCTTCATATACCGACTCTCTAGACACGTGATCACACCGAGTGATGCCGCCGAAGGGCATCAGCAAGAGGAAGAGTGGTGCTGGTTCGGCTGGTGCGTCTGGATCCCAAGGGGTCACGGCAGCTGCCTTGAAGAAGGCTAAAGTGTGCTGATGCCAGTTCGTGGACGTGTGCACTGTGTGCCGAAGCCGAACGGTCCTTAGCAGCAGAGGGCGAGTTCGCGATTGACATTTGTTCTCGGTGTTGGAATCGGTACAGAAAAGGCTTCACCCACCTGGGCTCCGTCGAGGACGTTGCCAAAGTGCTGGAGGAGGACGAGACCGTTGGCCAAAAATGGGAGGAAGCTACGACTCGCGAGGCTGCTGGCTCGGCGGCCATCGCCCCGTGGTTCCCGACAGAAGTTCGCGACACGAAGGACTGGACCATCAAGATAACGAAGCCCATGGTCGCACTGACCCGCCAGCAGGTCATCGCCGGGTGCGACGGCCAGGAGCCAGAAAAGTTCGGGGCGAAGCTGATGGACATCCCAGATAACAATGGCAGCACCTTCAAAGGCATCCTCATCCCGAACCCCCAGAGGCCCTACGTCGAGGTGGACTTGAGCACTACGTACACCATTCGCAAGGGGGTCACCAAGCTCGACCCTGAGAAGTAGATCTACGCCGACCAGGCGGACAACACGTTTGAGTATGGGTGCAAGGCGGGGAGAGGGAGGAGGGAGGAGGGAGGTGGGATGAAGAGGGAAGTTGGGCGAGGTGGGAGGATGATGAGACGAGAGTTGGGTGGATCGGGGAGCGAGGAGGGGAATTGAGAAGGCGGAGGGGGAGGGCAGTGGATAAGGAAGAGGAGGAGGAGGAATAGGACGGACGTCGGAGGACGGAGGGGGGAGGAGGGGGAAGATGAAAACACAGAAGTTTCGATGCTCAGGAGGCACTCATGGGGGAGAAGAGGGTTTCGGCCTCCTGGAGGCACTCAAGGACGGCGACCCCAGGCTCAGCAACATCATCAAGAGGGCCAACACAGAAGTGCACACTCTTGACAGCCTCAGGAACAAAGCGGAGCAGTACAGACGCACCCAAGACGAGCTGAAGGAGAAGCAGCAGGCTGACGAGGAGAGTCGGCCCGACGGGACTTCTGATGCGCTGGAGACTCCTCGGAAGTCTGTTACAGGAACGAGCTCAGCGGCGGGCCCCGTGCTGAATCCATCTGGCGTGAGGTCGTCCATGAGTTCGATCGGGGACGCAACGGGGCGAATTGGCAAGACGCCAGGTGCCGAGCCTCGTGGTAGAACGCCCCCTCCAACCGAGGATGGACTGACTGAGAACCAGGAGACGATCGAACGGAAGATCAGGGCGGTGGACCTGAACCAATGTTGGTCGGGCGTCTCGATGGGGCGCCAGATCCGCTGGGCGAAGGAGGCCTACGACGCCATCATGGACAAAGGCGACATCAGGGACACCAATGATTTGGAGAAGCCCCATAAGCACTGGGAGCTCGCGGAGGCTATCGGCGCCATTGTTGAGAAGCCGTTCAAGAGCATCCCGTCGGACAAGTTAGAGGCGAACTTCAAGGTCATCGAGGACGCAGAGGAGGACGTTCCCAGCAAGTTCAAGCTCGAGATTATGAGGCACAAAGTGGTCTTGATGCAAATCGCGACGGCGAATGGTACTGATAACGTCAGTTCTATCTTCCACAGCAACGCCCCATGGGACATCCGTGACGTGACAGGCGAGACTTTCGTTGAGACTTTTAAGCCGAGGACCCCGAGAACGATAGGACTCGACGGCAGCAGGATGGATAAGATCAACCTTGCCGACAGCTTCAGTTTCGAGATGTTCAACTTCCATGTGAAGCAGGCTGACTCTGGGATAGGTGCTCTCAGGTCCTTCGCCAAGAACGTCTTGGATTGGTTGGATGAGAACTGCCCTGAAAATGAATCGCACGATGAATTCATCGGCAATGTGGTCAGCTGCTGCAAAGTCTTGGTCTCCATCAGCGACAAGCAGAGCACTGCATACTACGACGCGGTGGTCCGCTTGGGAAGCACGCGCGGATCTGAATCGCCAACGGGCTGCTTTAAGCAGTTGAATCTTGCACTGAAGCGTTCCACCTTCTACACTGCCTTGAAGGACGAGTTCATGAGCTTCTACCAGAAGACGTCAGAGTACATGCCCGAGATGTTGAGCCTCCAGGACAGCATGGAGGCTGAACCGATCGAGGAGTTCGCCATCGGCAAGATGATGAAAGCACTTGACTTGATGCCGAAGCTTGAACAGTACGCCAGGCCAGGGTCATTCGACGATTTCGAGCGCCGCTTGGGGGCGAAGTGCGAAGCCTACGTGCACACCCTCACCGTGGACAAGACGTTCGAGAAGCTTGACAAGACCGCCCAGACCCAGATGCTTTCGGATGCACATGCTCTGCTTGAGCATGCGAAGGTCGGACTGCCAAAGAAGAAGCACGTGTGGCAGCAAGCAGCCGATAGCCTGAGCCAGTACGAGTCGGAGCTAAACATGTTCAACGCGACCCAAGGCATGTCAGAGCTGGCCGCCCGGCTTACCCCGACCATGCTTGGCGATCCCAAGGGGCGCCAGAACGTCATCCCCATGCTGGGCTCCGCGCTGGCTGCTGGTGGAAGGAGCTCCGAGGCCCATAGGGAGAGCGCGAAGAAGTTCAAGGATGTCACGCTTGAGTGCGTGTGCTCCTGTGCGAGCCCAGCTGACGCAGAGCCCTACACAATTGTCCTCAATAAGATCTGCGAGGCCGAATGGCTCCCGCGTGAGGACCAGCAAGGTTTGAAGGCGGAGATCTCCATGCTCGAACTCTGGCCACACCTGGAGACCAGCCGCAACCAATCGGCCCAACTCGGAGACGACATGATTCCGCGCCCCGAACACCCAGAGTCCCCAAGCACCTTCACGGCATTCAAATCATACTTGGTGAAGGCGTCCGCACATGAGGCGACCATCGACCTGATCCCCGCCCTCAAGACGACGTACGGTTTCTGCGTGACTATCGAGGATGACGTCAAGATTGCCTCTAAAGTTTGGGCTGAGGACCGCGTGCGCAACAAACCCAATGAGCCCAAGCCGCAGGCTAAGGGAGGCGCCGACTGGGAGACGCCATGGTACACTGGTCTGGACGCCACGACTGATGAGAAGACGACCCTGAAGCGAGCCGAAGATACGGTGCTGAAGATCAAGGGCAAACAACTCGAGATGCTCATCGCTGGGACCGTCAAGACCGTCGACAATCTCAATAGGTGGAGTACCTTGGCAGGGTTCAAGATCGACGGCGGGCTGCTCGCAGAGACTACAGGCGTGATCAACAATGCCAATGCGACGAAATACACCGCTCTCATGCTGCACGCGTTCAAGGGGGCGGGCGCCGTGACTCCGAAGCTCAAGAGGATCATCGGTACATGCAGGAAGGCCATCAACGACCAGAAGCTCGAGGGCGATATATTCCCGCCGATCGCGAGCTGGGCGAAGTCGCTCTGCTCTTTCAAGGCTTGAGCTGGATCCCGAGGGGGGGGCACGAGCCTCGGTTGGATTTTATGATGTGGATTATTGTCGGAAGGAGTGCGAGTGATATCATCAGTCATGCAGTGCATTACTCACACGCCTCTTTGACTTGTATGTTGGGATTTCTCACGCGCCTCTTACACGCCGTTACGTTCACTGGGGGGGGGGAGGGAGAGCTGCTGTCTCACACGCCCAAGGTAGTTAGAAACATATGGGTGGTCTCGGGCTTGGTCACATTATTAGGTTCAAGGGCCCTGGGCAAGGCCTACTAGAGAAACGAGGTGTGAGCATAAAGCAACATGCAAGTTTGCATTGACTAGGGTTTGCGACTCTGTGTAAGCGTGTTCACGCGACAGTTGCGAATATGAAGGGCGACGGCTGCAAGCAACGCTCAATCGTAACAGTGCGTGGGTTACCGATATCGTGCCTAAGGTCGCCGCGGGGGTCGTCTGGTCGTGCGTGCTCAGACTTGGAATCCCCAAATCCGTAAACATCATATTGGGAAACAATTGATTTTTTGAGGAGGTAGTGTGAGGCGCTTATGTCACGATGCCTACAAATGGTAGGTAGTGTGAGACCCTAGTCTGAACCCTATCCGTGAAGCTAGTTTGGGGGTTTCCCATGGGGGGCCCTTTTGCAGGGCGGCAACCATCATAAAGCAGTGGTGGAAGAGTGGGCCATCATCTCTCTTTCTCTCCCTCTCTCTCTCTTTATCTTCTGTTTGTTTCTTTATCTTGCCTGTCTCTCAGAGGAGGAACAGGTAACCTCACGAAGCCATTCAGACCCCCCTTCCGGTGAAACGATAAAGCACCCAGCACCATGAAGTGTTACCTTGGCACCTCGGATTTGGGCCGTTGCTTAGCACTGCTTTTTGTGCAGAGGCGGCAACGCATCAGTGAGGATGAGGATGGGGAGGAGGAGGAGAGGAGAGGAGGAGGAGGAGGAGGAGGAGGAGGAAGAGGAGGAAGACAAGGAGGACAAGGAGAAGAGGACATGGAGGAGGAGAGGAGGAGGAGGAGGAGGAGGAAAGAGGAGGAGGAGAAGAAGGGAGGAGGAGAAGGACAGAGAGGAGAGATGAGGAGGAGGACGAGGACGGGAGGAGGGAGGAGGGAGGAGGAGGAGGAGGAGGAGGAGAGAAGAGGAGGAGGAGGAGGGAGGAGGAGGAGGAGGAGGCGTAGAAGGAGTTGGAGGAGGAGAGAAGTGGAGGAGGATGCGGAGAAGGAGGAGAAGGAAGGAAGAGAAGGAGGAGGAGGGGAGGAGGAGGAGGAGGAGGAGGAGGGGAGAGGAGGAGGAGGAGGAGGAGGAGGAGGAGGAGGAGGACGAGAAGCATGAGAAGGAGGAGGAGGAGGAGGAGGAGAAGTAAGAGGAGTGGGAGGATGAGGACGGGGAGGGGTGGGAGGAGAAGGCGGTCGCGGGGGGAGCAATAATATTCATTGGTTGCGGCTTGGTGCCGTGGTCAAGATATCGCCCCTCTAAATATGCCCCCCGTGGGTTATTTATGTTTGTTTCGGTGCTAACGATAACACCGGGGTGCCTTAGGCTTTCTCGGGTTATTTCTTCAACTACCCTTCTTTTGTTTTCCCCTTCTTGGGCCTCCTGGGAGGCCCTCGTCGCCACCGCTGGATTCGCCTCGAAATCCTGGTCCGAACGCACCCCAGGAGAGGTCTAGAGAGTAGCGGTATCGGTACCTGTCTGGCTTCCCCATTTTCGCCGGGCGTTCCGCCGTTACCTGCTTTGGTTTGGCGAGAGGATGACGGAGCCAGAGCTTGCCTCGGGTGGGTGTGTTCTTCTTCCCTATCTTCCCTCTCGCCATCAACCTTGCCGCCCTCCTCCTCCCCCTCTCGGCTCAGGGGCAACGATAGGGAGGGCTAGGCATAGGGGAGAATGCATCGACCCCCACTTGCCCATTGATCGCCGATAGGGGTCTGATAGCCCCACCCCGCCCAGGAAAGTGCGGATTTGCTATCGGGGGCGTATCGCCGATCTATCGGCGATGTGTCGCCGGTTCCAGGTCGATGTTTCCCCCCCTATGCCAGTCCCCCCCAACTCGTTGCCCCTCATCGGCAGGTCTAGCGCCGCCGCCCATCACCCCTGCCCATCTCCTCCTCCTCCTCCTCCTCCTCCTCCTCCTCCTCTTCCTCCTCCTCCTTCTGGAGGAGAAGGAGGAGAAGGAGGAGGAGGAGGAGGAGGAGGAGGAGGAGGAGGAGGAGGAGGAGGAGCGGGAAGGAGCGGGGAGGAGGAGGAGGAGGAGGAGGAGGAGAGGAGAGAGGAGGAGGAGGAGGAGGAGGGAGAGGAGGAGGAGAGAGGAGGAGAGAGGAGGAGAGGAGGAGGAGAGGAGGAGAGAGGAGGAGAGAGGAGAGAGGAGGAGAGAGAGGAGGAGAGAGGAGGAGAGAGGAGGAGGAGGAGGAGGAGGAGGAAGGAGGAGGAGGATAGAAGGAGAGAGGAGGAGAGAGGAGGAGAGGAGGAGGAGAGGAGGAGAGGAGGAGGAGGAGGAGGAGGAGGAGGAGGAGGGGGAGGAGGAGGAGAGAGGAGGAGGAGGAGAGGAGGAGGAGAGGAGGCGGAGGAGGCGGAGGAGGAGGAGGAAGGAGGAGGAGGAGGAGGAGGAGGAGAGAGAGGAGGAGGAGGAGGAGGAGAGGAGGAGAGGAGGAGGAGGAGGAGGAGGAGGAGGAGGAGGAGGAGAGGAGGAAGGAGGAGGAGAGAGGAGGAGGAGGAGTAGGAGGAGGAGGGAGGAGGGAGAAGGAGGAGAGAGGAGACAGGAAAAGGTGGAGGAAGAAACCCTCCCGGCAGGTCAGAACCTGGATCCTGGGCCGGCGCCGCCCAGTCTGCCCGTCCTGTTTTGCGGCCGCCCCGCCGACCGGGCCTGGTCGCCTTTCGGCATAGCGGGAGCCGGGAGACGGGGGGCAATGCAAACGGGGGTCAGCCAGGGCGCCTGATCTTGCAGAATTCTGCAGGGCCAGGGTCGCATTGACCCGGGCTTGGGCGCAGGATCCTACAGGATCCTGCAGGATCCGTCACGTTGACCCAGGTTTGGGTGCAGGATCTTGCAGGATGCTGCACTGACCCGGGTCTGGATTGACCTGGGTCAGAAGATCGCCGAGCACAGCCCACGCTCCCCCTGGGCCTCAGAGCCTGAATCCTGGTCGGGCGTTGCGTAGTGGGGGGGCGTTTAAGTCGGGGGGACCGAACTGGGTAAGGAAGTGACGGGTTCAAACCCAAACAGCAGTCATTCTGAACAGGATTCGTCGTCGTCGTCGCGGCGGCCGTTGTTCATTTGACACACAAGCTCGCCTGGCAAACAGCGCCCGCTGTCGGTTCCGGACAACATTTGTTGTTGGGCATCGTGCCCATTTTCTTCGTACCCACTTCGGGCGTCCATAACCATGGGGAGTGAAGAAACAGGCATTTCTCGTGCACCTTAAGGGCCCTCGAGGCTTAAAGGGGCCCCCTGGGGTCCAAAAGAGGCCAATGTGTACGTTTCTTGGTCCCCCCCATTGGGACGTTCCACATACGGGCCTTGCTTTCGAGGATCGAAGGAGTTGTCATTTCTTCCTCGGCGGAAGGTCGGCGGACGTAAAACGAGGCCGCCTCCGCCAGCGGAAGCCGGCTTGAGGGCGGCGGAAGGTGGCGGGAGTAAGAAATGCGCCCCCAAGAGCTGAAACGTTTTTGGGTTCAGGGTTTCCGAAATCGGCCACTTATTGCTACCCCCCCATGACGCAACGCCCAGACTGGATCTGGACAGGCTCGCCCCGCCTCCGGGCGCCCAGAAGATGCATCCATATCCAGCGCCTCTCGAGGCCCAGGAAGATCGGTTCCCCAGGGAGGGGGAGGGGGAGGAGGAGGAGGAGGAGGAGGAGGAGGAGGAGGAGGAGGAGGAGGAGACCATCCTCATCCTCCCTCCTCCCCCGTGCTTCATATGGCAGTGGTGGTGGACGATTTGCCCATCACACGCGGCTTTCTTGGTCCTGGCCTCGCTCATCGTGCTTCCCCGCTGCCACCGCATTTCCCGCGGGCGCCAGCCGCGAGTTCCGCTCGGGCGAGGGGCGGCTGCGAGGAGAGGTTGCAGTAGAGCAGCTTCGGCAGCAGCAGCCGCAGGCAACGGCAAGGAGGACCCCAACATAATCTCAACCTCTCGGAGCTAGACCTCGAGGAGTGCGAAATGGCGGTTATGTAGAAGATGCTCCTTCTGATGACGCGGCTGCTGATCAACGTGGCGCACCGCTAGCAGCAGATAGTGCCGATCGAGATTAAGGCAGTCATCTTGCCGACGGGCCTCTAACCGGCTGTGAAGGCCAGGGATATGGAGAAGTCGTGGACCAGGGAGGTCGAGAAGTTGAGGCAGACGGACGACAAGGCGGAGGCAGACAATACGATCGCGGGGATGGGCACAATCTCGTTGGCGTGCGTCGTGGGCATCTTCGAATAGGGCTGTTTTTCAGAGGGAACGGCGGTCGGACCAAGAGCTACAGGACCTCGGCAAACGGATGGAGCAAATCACAGCGGCCAAGATGGGTGACGTGTTACCGATGGCCAAAATTAGCGAACGCTTGAGGAGGCCACAGCTAATCTCATCGTGCAGTAGCCTTCAGCGCGCGCCTGAACATGGCGGCGGCGCTGGAGGTATGGATCCACGCAATTGTGGAGCGCACGCAGGGGATGGCGCCGATGTCACCAACGGAACTAGCTGTATATGCAGCCGCCGGAATTTGTAGGGACCATGCAGTACTACTTCGGCCTTCAGCTGGAACGACACGGCCTATCTGTTGCTGCACCCGAGCCCGAGTTCCCCCCCCATCCTTGTCTTTCTGCCTTTTGGGTGGCGTTAAGTTCGGGGCGAGCTCCCGTCGAGCGCAGGCCCCAGCGGCCGCCGAACGAGTTTGAGGGTTTCGATGTCTGTCGCTCCCAAGGCCCCAGAGCCCCAGCAGACACAGGCTTTGGGAAACCATTCTGCCAGTAGTGCCCTGACAGGCGGAAGAGTGGGCAGGTGAACGGTG